CTGGAGAAGCTAGGTGGTATAGTGGATAGAGTACTGGGTCTGGAATCAAGAAGATTCATCTTCCTGTGTTCAAATCTGGCTTCAGACACTTACTAGCTGTGTGACCCTGGGCAAGTCACTTAACTCTGTCTCAGTTTCCTCATATGTAAAATGAGCTGGTGAAGGAAATGGTAAGCCATTCTAGGATCTTTGACATAAAAACCCCAAATGGAGTCACAAAGAGTTTGAAATGGGAGCAGCTAGGTGGTGCAGTGGATAGAGCACTGGCCCTGGAGTCAGAAGGACCTGAGTTCAAATCTGGCCTCAGGCACTTGACACTAGCTGTGTGACCCTGGGCAAGTCACTTAACCCAGATTGCCTCACCAAAAGAAAAGGACACAACTTAAAAATGACTGAACAACAAAATGAAGGGCCCAGTTGAGGTCAGATAACATGATTTTGTAAAGGACCCAATGGCAGGGTTGTGTGATTTTAGTTATCAATTTTGAGTAGCTAAGGAGAAGGAACAGAAAAGTGAGATCTGAGGGTGACCCATAATGAAGAATTGTCAAGTTAGATGTTGGTTGATTGATTTGAAGAGGCAAGGAAAAATATCAAGGGTGAGAATGGTAAAAAGTTGAACTATAGGATCAAAATTGTGAAGGGAAAAAAATGAACCAACACTAATGGCTAGGAACAGAGTAATAGATATAAAATTCTTTCCAAAGAAGCCTTAAGCTGTACTCTTTGAGAAGAAGGCATTGTCCTATCTTATAAGTGATGATATGGATACACAATGGCCATCAGGTAAGAGATCATCATTGATATGATGATGACAAGAAAACAGTCCACTACTTTCTTAGTGTATGTGGTATCTTTGGCATGACTGAGAACCAAGACTTTTCTTTCTGATGGCTACCACTGACCTCTTTTGATTCATATTAGCAAAGTTATATTACCAGGACTCCAGAAAGCATTATTAAGGCAGTCTTGGGCAAGAAAACGAAGATCTGATGAACACAGACAGTGTTTTCACCACTTTCAGTGGTAGAAGGTAAGCACTTTAGAAGAGAAGGGCATATTTGGGAAATGAGTAACTGATTAAGAAAGTGTCTGAGAAGGAAATTTGGCTTAAAATTTCAGAATGCTGAGTTCTTGGCTGGGGACAGAATATACCTATTAAGAGCTAATATTTTCCCAGAATCTTAAAAAATCTAATCAAAATTGTTTTAAACTGAAAAGGAAGGAGACTTTTTAAAAGTTGCCTAGATAGAATAATGAAGAGCCACAACATAGGAAGAATAGTAGTAGAGATTCCCAGGGAATCACAAGAGGCGTAACCCAAGAAACAGAAGTGAAATCCATTGCCTCATGTCTTTATATACCAATGCATAAAGTATAAGTAAAAGCAAAGTGAACTGTATATCTTCTATCAAGGAGGTAGATTTGACTCAATAGGTACATATCACTGAAATTTTGTGGAATATGGCATGTTACTAGAGTATAGCTTAAAAAGATACATCTTATTAAAATTATCTGGGTAAGTAAGGGGAATGTGGGGTAGGAGTGGCTGAGTAACAGCATATATTAAGAAAATACATGCATGTGAGGAAATCCAGGAACCAGGGACAGGAAGCATGATGGACATCAATTAGCTAGAAATCAATAGAGGTAAAAAAAAAAAACAACAGTAACAAAGAGAAGCAATATTGTCATCAAAGTGTACTATTACACTATACTCCATCTGAAAAGAAAAAAGGAAATAAAGAGTTCAGATCATGAACCTTACCGAGAGGCAAAAAGCAGTGATAGAGGACTTCAATTATTTGGACATCAATTAGAGCTCACCCTCTGTTATAGATCCAGAAGCTAAAAACTTAATTGTTTCTCTTAATGATAATATCATCTTCCAAAAGGCAAGTGAACTAAAGAGGTGAAACTGCTATTCTGGACCTATTTCTCATCTACAGAAAAGCACTGCTAACTGAAATATTATAGATGATATATGAAGGAAATCTGGGAGAATAGTGACATTTTAGAATCAAGAAGCAAAGGATAGACTGGCACAGTTTGACATGTACCAGAAGTTTGGATTAGATTTCAAAGGGTTCAGAGAAAGGGTAGGTAATTAGGTAAGATAGCACACATTGAAATTCTACAGAGGAAGTGGGACCAGGAGGAAATATTTCAAGAATAAAATTTTCAAGACATGAAGAAAATAATTTCAAGAAGAATGGGAAAGTTGTCTAAAGAGATTAATGTGGATGTATAGGGATCTCACTGGCCAACTTATCACTGGGGGGTTTTTTAATGCACAGAACATTAGAAGAAAGAATTTCAAAATTCAAGATCATGGAGGGATGAAAGCAGGCCATTTTAGGATGATGGCGAGATTAAAGGTGTTATGCTTTCATGTGCATGGCTGAGGTAGAGTGATGATGGAGCTCACAGGAGTTGAGGTAGTTGATGAACTGAGATATTAGTGTTCTAAGAGTCATCAAGATGAAAGCAGGCATTGGGATCTAGAGGAAAACTGTGGATTAAGTATTGAATTCCTTGAAAAATAAGGAAGAGTTTGATGAAGACCAGTAGATGAGAATAAGAATCTGGAACAGATGATAGAGACTGATGGATTGGGAACTCAAAAGGGAAGAGGATCTCAAAATGGTGGGGTATCAAGTATTCCAACTTTTCCCAGTCCATGTGTTAGGAAGCATCACAGAAAGAGTAGCCAACACTGGAAAGAGTGGCTAGGGATTAGGTATCTCACAGAGAAAGCAAAGTTTTTCTAAGTGCAAAATGATGGAAAGAACATAAGAGGAAGGGTCCTTGATTGAAGTGGATTCTTGTTCCATAGCTACATGAGGCTAACAATAGCATAGCCCAATCACTTGATTAGATCCAGTTTTCTCTGGGTTTTATTTAAACAGACTACCCCACTATTTTTAGAACTACCTAATCAAAGAATGTCAAAATGGGAAGGGACCTTTGAGATCAAGCCTAAACTCCTCATTTTACAGAGAAGGAAACTGAGGCCCAAAGAGAGAGAATGAGTTGCCCAATGTCATATAGCCCATTAGTTGTAGACTCAAGAAATAGAATCAAAGGCTCCTGATTACTAATCTAGCACAACCTATATTAACATTCTTCTGAATAAAGCAAGGTTACATGTGTTCTTTGTTTTTGTTTTGTTTTGTTTCTTAGTGTAGCAAATTTGAGATGGGGAAATCACATGTAAAGTCATATTCCCTTCCTCTTGGCATATTCCTACAGAGAGAAGAGACCAGCCAATTTGAGAAAAAGAGTGCTGAGTTGAGAGTCCAAAGAACTAGGTTCAGGACCTAGATTAGTCACTCATTTTTCATGTGATCTTAAGTCAGGACCACTTGCTGGGTCTTTCCAGCTGTGGTATCTTATAATTGTATACTAGTCATTTAAGCCTAGCTCAAGAAGCCTTCCCTAATCACTCTAGCCCCCAATGACCTCCCTTCTCCAAATTCTTGCTGTCTGCGTCATTCATTTGATTAGTCATACTTTCCTGGTTTTATGTAATGTTTAGTGTTATGTAAGATGTCTCCCCTAGTAGATCGCAACTCCCCAATAACAGGAATAGCCTTTTATGATTATTTGTGTCTTCCTCAGAAACTATCATGGAAAATCCATTATAGAATGAATATGGATATGTGTTCTTAAAACGTGGAGCTTCAGTGCCCTGCATTGAATGTTAGACTATCAGATGAAAGGAATCTTAGAACATAAAATGATAGAACTGAAAGGGACCTTAAAACAATAAAAGGTCAGAGCCAGAATGAGATTTAGAATATAACATCTGTGCCACCTTTGATATGGGTGGTATAATGTTGCATAGAGTGCTAGTGCTGGACTTGGGAGTCAGGAAGACTCTCAGTTCGAATCTTACCTTCGGTACTTAATTAGCTCTATGACTATAAATAAATCACTTAACCTCCCTGACTGCCATTTTCCTCATCCAGAAAGTCAGGATAATGATAATACCTGTATCTACCTGTTTTTCTAAGGATCAAATAACAGAATGTATGTAAAACACTTTGTAAACCTTAACGTACCATATAAAAATCAATTATTATTAACAAAGTGTTAGAATTGAAGAGACCAAAAAAAATTTTTTAAAGAATTATTAAAAAAAAAAAAAAAGAATTGAAGAGATCTTGTCATTCAGTTGTTTTTCAGTCATGTCTGACTCAAATGTGACCCTATTTGGAGTTTCTTGGCAGTGATACTAGAATGGTTTGCCATTTACTTCTCCAGCTCATTTTACAAATGAGTAAACTGAGGCAAACAGGATTAAGTGACAACTCCAAAAGATTCATGATGGAAATTGCTATCCACACCCAGAAAAAAACTTTGGAGTCTGAATGCAGATGGAAGCATACTATTTGCTCTCCTTTTCCTTTGTTGTTTTGTTTTATTGCTTCATTCTCGTGGTTCCTCCCATTAGTTGTAATTGCTCTTTACATCATGACCCATGGGGAAACATGTTTAACATGAATGTATATGTAGAGCCTATATCGGATTGTATGCTGTCTTGAGTGGGGGAAAGAAGTGGGAGGGGGAGAAAATTTTAAACTCAAAATCTTATGGAAGCGAATGTTAAAACTAAAACTAAAAATAAATAGTAAATAAAATGAATAAATAAAAATAAATAAAATAAAATAAAAATAAAATAAAAATAAAAATAAATAAATTTTTAAATTTTTTTTTAAAAAGAAAAAAAATTTGAGTAGAATATAAGCTTCCTGAGGGAAGGGTTTGCTTCAGCATGGTTTATTCCATGTAAATGGCAACTATAATTGTTCAACTCTTTAAATAAGGAAGTTTTATACAAATATACAACCAAAACAGACACTGGAAAGGGACACAGGGATGCTGAGTATGAATATCTTTGTGATATGGGAAGGGGAAAGAAACTGTGTCCTCTCTAAGACTGTGTACATGTGTACATGTGAAGACTAAAGAAGAAACCCGAGCTCTCATTTGATCAACAAACATTTATTGATTGTGTAGTGGGAGAAAGATCTCTAGGCTGAGCTGGGAGACATGACCTGGGTACTGATTGCCAGCTCAGGAAGAGGCTCGCACACACCTTTGCTTCTGGTCCAGGGGCTGCGGTTCCACTGAAGCTGTATTTGCTAACAGTGACTCAAAATTATCCAGCAAGCCAGAGGCAATAGGGAGTAGAGAGTTCTGCATGGTCCGCTCTTGAATCCCACTGTAGCCCTCCCTCTTCACAGCTGCAGAAGATGCCCCTCTGCTCCCCACCCCACCCCAAGGTACTGCCTTAGCTTCTGACAGTCAAACAGGATTAAAGTGCATCCAGGATGAAATGATAGACATCTTGTCTCCCTTTGGCTGTGTCAATGACAAGGAAAGACAGGGACTCCTCTGGCTCAGTGAGGGGAAATTCAAATTTTCTTTCATTTCACTAAATCATTTTTTAATTCCAATCCCTACTGTAGACACACAGAACTGAAGCAGACACAGGGCCTATGTGACAGCGGCTTGTTAACTGGATAATAATCAATATTTTATGCCATTGGGAGTTATCAGCAAACATCCTAAAGCACCATCAGCTTCATTAAGAACATTGTTTAAAAGGTCATAGATTTGTTTATTTCTGCTCCCCATCAAATGTTATTTTTGAAACAAGTCACACTTGGTCTCTAAATTTCCACCTCCCTAGTTTCTCCAAAGGATAAAAGGGAGGAGCCAAAAATAGAATCAAGGAAAGATATGCCCAAATTTGATTCTTTGGGAGACTACCCAATGCTTGGCTTGGCTCCTTTCTTCATGAAGGTACAAAAAGCTACTGACCACATTAACCATAACAGTGGGTCTAAGATTCCTTCCCTTTTTGAGGAGAATGGAGTGGGCAAAACCCATGACCCAATGAGAATAGGGATTTCTTAGCTAAAGTCTGAATGTACCCATGTCTACCCCCATCCCAACTAGTGCTCTGAACACAGGTTTATCTGATATTGGGTAGAGAGGGAGCTGTCTACTAAACTCCCTTCCCATCACTATTCCTTGGGAAAGCAGTATCAAATTTAAAGGTAGAAGCAGCCCTAAAGATCATCCAGTCCACTCCCACCCCCTCATTTTGCAGAGGAAGAAACAAAGGCCCAGAGACTTGACAAAAGTCATAGAGTCACAGAATATGATGGATGTGAAAGGAAGGTTGAGGAGAAGTCTTCACTTTTCCCCATCCCCCCTCACAAGTCTTCCAAAACAATGAAGTGGTTGCTATTAGTAGCTGTCATGCCAGATCTATACTTTAGAAAACATAAACTTCAGAGGGAGCAACTTTTAAGCATCAGATGAATTTTAGAATACACCACGGTGACAAGGTTGGCAATGTACAATAAATAGCTTTCACAAGAGTTTTGTCTCTTCCCCACCCTCCACTTCCAATGAGGACCCCATAATCCCATTAGCTTAGTTCTTAGACTTGGTAGTAAATGAAGTATGTAGATTGAGAATTCCCCAATTTTAACTCCTATCCAGATCTCTCAAAATCTTCATCCCAGCAAGCCACCATATTTACACTTCCTGGAGGAGTTCCTTTACACCTTGCTTGTTTGCATGTGCCCATTGAATTCTGTATTTCTGGAGGACAGCATGGCCTCCTGCAGGCGGCTGCTCTTCTCCAGCTTATGGTCGGTGGGGTCACCATCTTCAACACCATAGCCCTTTCGGAGGCACAGGACCTTCTGAAAGCTCTGCTTGAAGTTGTCAGACAGGAACCCATACAGGATGGGGTTGGCACAGCTGTTGGCATAGGAGAGGATCACCACAAAGAAGTATATACCTGCAGAGGCAGCCTCTTCAGGCAGGATGAAAACCAGATTGACAATGTTCAGGGTGAAAAATGGCAGCCAGCAAAACACAAAGACGACAACAATGATGACCACCATCCTGGTCACTTTTCGCTCTGATCTCCTCCTCCGGGTGGAGCCCACCCGGACCCCTGACGATTTGACCTTGATCACAATAAGTAAATAGCAGAGGCAGATCACCAACAGGGGCCCAAAGAACCCCAGGACAGAGGTGTAGATGATGAAGACTGCTCCCCAGATATTTACCGGCTCAGGCCAGCTGATGTTGCAGGTATTCCAATCTTCCTGGACATCGGCAAATATGATGACTGGAAGGGACATGAGTAATGAGAAGGTCCAGACAGCAGCACTGATAAGCCTAGCTATCCTTGGGCGGCGCCACTTGGTGGACTTGATGGGATGGACGACAGCCAGGTATCGATCCATGCTCATGACAGTGAGACAGAAAATACTGGTGAATTGGTTAATGCCATCCACAGTCATCACAAGCCTGCATAGGAAGGTGCCAAAGGGCCAATAGGAGATGGCATTTTGGGTGGCAATGAAGGGCAGGCCCAGCATGAAGAGGACATCAGCTACAGCCAAGTTGAGGATATAGATGTTGGTGACGGTCTTCATCTTAGCATACCGCAAGACCACATAAATGACAAGTGCGTTACCACTGAGCCCAACCATGCACACAAGGAGGTAGATGATGGGGATAATTACTGTGCGAACAGCAGACACAGGACCTGGTGGTATGACCACTGTTGTATTTTCACTGCTATTGAAAGCACAGGAAAAATTTGCTCCCCGAAGATGGCTATCCAGCCCATCACCTGGCAGCGAGTATAGTGGATCCATGGTTTCATTCCTTTTGTTTTTCCCCAAGTCTGAGAAGAGCTACAATTCAGACATCTTGTTTCTAAAAGAAAAAGAAAAAAAAAAGAAGTGAAAGCCAGAAAATAAATTAATGAGAGGAAAATTGAAAGTGTTTTTATTAAGCTAACCATATTCTAGAATCATGTCCCTTTTCACTCACTGCCTTCTCCCCACCTCACTCCAAATCTCCTGTGTAACTGCTAGATTACTCAATGTACCATAAAGCAATTAGCTATGGTATCAGCCAGGATTTTTACATTAAGCAAATTGTTTGAAAACAAGACTCAAATAAATTGATAAAAAATGAACTGTCACTCTTGGGAAGTTGAAGTTAGGGAGGAAGTACAAATCTTTAAATTCAATCAGTTCCTACTTCTGAAGAATATTTTCTTATTTCCCATCCCTATCCTCCCCCCCAGATGACTACAAGAGCTTCTCTGCTTCTGGTTTCTTCTTCTTTTAATATTTTTAATATATAACGTAATATATGTAATATGTAAATATATATAATTTATACATTTAATTTTTAATATGATATGTAATGTTATTATATATAATATATAATACAACATATAATATCATATAATGTATTTTGCCTGCATCATCTTCCCAGAATACCAATTTTATAATGTCATCTTCTCATTCCTACTCCTGCTCAAGTATCTTCAATGGCTCCCTATTGCTAATGACCTTATCTAGTAAAAATCCTCTGCATAACTTTCACAGGTTCCTACACCCTGGTTCTACCCTATGAGACCAACCTTTTCCTAATCACTCCCCAAAAGTCACACTCAGGTGCATCCAGGACAAGCTTATCATTCATTTACACCCTTCCCGCCCTCCATCATGTTCACACCTTCTTGAATTCATTCCCATTGTCTCCTCTCTTCCTGTCTGACACCTACCTATCCTCTAAGCCTCAGCTCAATCCCTACCTCCTCGAAAAATAAATTAGTACATTTTAATAGGGAAAAACCCTGGATAGGGAATCAGGAGGCCTGAGTTTGGGTCAAGCCTCTGCTATTGACATAGCATAGGTGCATCACTTTCCCTCTCAAGGCCTATTCCCCATTTGTAAAATGAAAGCATTATGCTAAATAATCTCCAAAATTCCTTCCAGCTCTGCCATTCTGTAATGGCGATATATAGAATCTATAATTCCAACCCTGAATTCCTTTTAACTACCATTTAGTAAGTATCTATTATGTGTAAGTTCTAGGAGCATCTAGGTGGCACACTGGGATGGAATCAGAAACACTCATTTTCCTTAGTTCAAATCTGGCCTCAAACACTTATTAGCTGTGTGACCCTGGGAAAGTCACTTAACCCTGTTTGCCTCAGTTCCTCATCCATAAAATGAGTTGGAGAAGGAAATGACAAATCACTCCAGGATCTTTGCCAAGAAAACCCCAAATGGGGTCATGGAGGGTCAAGCATGACTGAAAAATGACTCAACAACAGAAAATGTGTGCTCTATGCAAGGTATTTTGGATGCAAAGGAAAAAAATGTTCTTTCTCTCATTGAGTTGACATCCTACTGAGGCACATGCACATAAACAGACATATAAATACAAGATAATTTGAGAAGGAAAAGAGCATTTACCAATAGGAGGATGAGGAAAAGCTTCTTATAAGATAATGCCATCTGAGCAGAACCCTGCTGGAAGTTAAAGATTCTACAGGGCCAAGAAGAAATTGGAACATATTTCAAACATGAGGGACATGCAGAGGCACAAGATTAGAAATAAAATGTTAAGGTCAGAGAACAGCTAATAGACCATTTTGGCTGCAATACAGGATTTGTGAAGAGTAGTATGAAATAAGTCTGAAAAAAAGGCTACAGCCAATTGTGTGAGGGATTTTAAATGCCAAGCTGGAGAGTTTATATTTCAAGGAAATAGGGAGCCACTGAAGATTCTTGAGTATGTGTATGACGTGGTTAGACTTGACTGCTCCAATTTATGATATTCTCTCCTTTGTTTCTACTCTTCTTGCCTGTGAAGTCAACTATTAGAATGCAGTTTAGCACTTTCCTAAGTCTTTCATATATCTCTCCAACTAGACCATGATCTCCTCAAGGGAAATCATCTTTTTTTGATCATTCTATAGTGCCTAGGACAGGGTATGTCTCCATGAAAACTTCTTAGTTGACTGATTAGAAGTTTGGCCATTTGTATTTAATTAATCAAGGAAGATGTAATGGGGTCCAGCATGATGGGGAGAAAAGACACTGGATTTGGAGTCAGAGGGCCAAAGTGTAAATATCAGCTTTTCTACTTGCAAATTTTAACTCACTCACCATCTCTGAACCCCAGTTTCTTCATCTGTAAGATCTAATCACTGGCGCAGGAGAGATGATTTTCCTATGGTTTGGTTCTATCTCAGTGCTACCTCCTCCAGGAAGCACATCTTGACCACTCCAGCCTAACACTGAGCTTTCTCTTCTAGGAAAAGATTTTTCTCTCTGAATCACTCATTTGGTACTTGGCATGCACTGTTGCTGCTTCTCTCTGTTTATAGTTCTTATCTCTCCTCTCCTCCAAAAAACTGTCAGCTCCCTCCAAGCAAAGAGTATGTATTACTCATCAGCCTCATGGCCTAGATAGTGCCTTGTAATAACAGTGCTAGATAGGGCAATAGGCCACATTAGATGGTAACTCAGGGTTCTTTAAGTCCCAGCTTCTTCACTTTATAGATAAGAAAACTGAGGCTGAGAGTTAAGTGACTTTCCCAAGGTCAAACAACTAAACATTTGAGGTAGGATTTGAACCCAAATTTTAACTCTGCTGCTGGCTGGGAGAAATTGACTCATTTCTCAGTTTCCTCATCTGTAAAAAGAGAAGGATGAGTAGGGATGAACTAGAAGATCCCTAAGGCCCTTTCTGATTCTACACCAATTCTAATGCATCAGAATTCTATTGCTGCAGGGAGGTGACTGTGACCTCTTTATTGGCTACGGGAAAGTCTGTGCCTAATGCAAGTTAGGAGGAGGCTGGGGAAAGATCAGAGGCAGGAAAAGAGAGAGGAGAAAAGAAATTGCATTATCATTTATTCTTTGAAGTTGGACACATGCTTAAAAGATAGAGTCACTCTGTTTTATATCTGAGCAGATTTTAAGAAAAATGAATTAGAAATCCTCCAGTCTTTCTATGAAGAGAAAATATGGCTGGTTTGGAAGCAATAAGATGTTATCTGCCCACCCTTGCCTATCTTCAACACTCTCCCCAGCCTAAATTTCTTAAACAAATGTCAAGTTCTGGTCCCACCCTCTAGAGCTTCTCATGCCTTCAGAATCAACAGAAAAAAAAGATAGAGACCAGGTATAAATAGCTCTGCAAAGCTGTGCTCCTTAGAAGTTCCAGCAACAAGGCTGTCAGGAAATATTGCACACAAGCCAGAGGTTAAATGGATCTAAGCCTGATGATTACAAAGATGCTGACCTCCAATGGAAGGAAAATTATATGGGATGAAAAACACTGGTGGAGAGAAGTTTCCATGAGTATAGGGCCCACTCGGGAGGTTTTCTAAAAATGACTGTAGCTTTTGCCAAATTAGTTGTCATTACTGTGTCTGAAGTACAGGGTCATGAAAAGAGGCAAGAAATCTAAAATCTGAGAGATGGCTTGGCTACTAACCTCTCGTGTTATATTAGAAAAGTCCCTCCCTTCTCTGGGCCTCAGTTTTCCCATTCAGGAAATGTAAAAAGGGATTCAGACTAGAAGAACTATAAAGTCCCTTCTTGCTCTAACATCCTGGGCTCTACGTTCTAAGATCTCCTCTTGCCCTGACGTTCTATGTATTGAGTTCCCTTTTTTCTCTAATAATCTTTGTTCTGTGTTTGCAGTCTCCATTCTGCTTTGACTTGCCATGTTTTAAATTCTCTTGTTACTCTGACACCCTGCGTTAAATTTTCTAAATTCCTTTCACACTCTGTCATTCTGTGATTCTAGAAAGCTCCAGTGGTAGCTAGATCTCAGATCTACTCAGCTGGATCCACCTAAAAGCCAGCCCATACAGTATTCCAGAGGAGGTCATTGTATTATATAATTGCTATGATTGGCCTAATGGAGATAGCCCAGGGAAGATTCAGATGATTCTGCTGTCCTCATCAGCTGGAAAAGAAAAATAAAGCCTGGTGTGTAGCTATTATACGATGACTAGAATATGCCTCTGAGATTGCTCATTAGCTGAGCAGAACTGAAGCTTTGTTTTTGAGATCTAAATGAAGTTTCTGATATCTCTAACTGGTTAGCTGTGGTGAAGAAGAAAGAATATCAGACTTGAAATCTAAAGATATGGGTTCAAATCCTGTATCTACTCCTTAGGTACATCATTCCCTCTCTGTAACTCTTAATTTCACCATCTGTGGAAAAGGAATAAGAATTATTAAAATATTTTTGGTACATTTATTTGAATTCCAACTTGGATCCCTTCGCTAAGGTTCTTTTTCACACATTATCATGGTGTAGAGATGCCAGGCCCAAATTCAGCAGACCCCTACCAAACAGGAAAGGCTTCAACTATGAACCTGGAGACCCTGCCAGCAGATGTCAGAGACACTGGTCACCTGAGAGTTGGTTAGCAAGTTCTGAAATGTTGCAGAAATTCAAAAAAGCTAATCTACTATACTAAGAAATTAATCACTCAAGCATTTATCAAGCATTTACTATGTGTCAGGGCACTGTGCAAAATGCTGGGGATATCAAGAAAAAGCAAAAAAAAAATGGTCTTCACCCTCAAGGATTTTAGATTCTAATAAGGGAAGCCATATGTATATAGATAAAATAGATTCAGAGTAGTTGGAAGGTGACCTAAAAGAAGTCACTTACAACCAGGGAAATTAGGAAAGGCCTCTTACAGGAGGTAGCATCTGAACTGAGCCTTGGAAGAAGACAGGGGTTCACAGAGTCAGAGGTTAGAAAGGAAAGAATTACAGGTATGAAGAACAGTCTCTGCAAAGACACAAAGATAGAATATGTGTGAGGGATAGCAAATAGACAAGTGTGTTGGTATTGTTAATGTAATATGTTACTATAATTTGAC